GTAATTTCAAAAGTGTTTGAGCAACTTTGATATAAATTGTAATGAAAAATTTCAATTTTTTATAATTAACATGGAGCACAATGTAATTGCATACAACACTTCATTCTTTGTTCCAATCTGACAAACTTCCCAGTTTGATATATGGTGTTTTAAGACATCTGTAAAGTGTGCATATTTTCTTTATAAGTGCTTTCACTCTGCATTTGTATCCACAGGTTCAGAATGAACTGTAGTGTAACAGTTTCACTTACTGTATGATAATGAAGCTTTATAAAAACTTGGTGCTCTATATGTAATGTTTATGGCAAACATTGTCATAACATAGTTATTGACCTTTATTGCTCAGCAAGTTGATAGAATTATATTTTAATTCACTGTGGATAAAATTACAAGCTGACTGTTAGCTCTGTCACATGTTCTGATCCTCCAAATGGCCAGAAACAAGGCATCCATGGCTCTGAGGTTCTTTCTTGATGCTGCAAAGAAACCTCCCTTTACATCCAGGTACTCTGTGTGGTCTTGTTTTTTGATAACTTCTGTGCACTTAGCTATATCAGTTTTATTTTATAGCAGTAGGTTAAACAATTCTCTAAATTAGGCTTTATAGTAACCGCTTTTTAGTCTTCTAAAGCTGACAACTTTACTACAGTTAAGCTTGTAGAATTTAATATTTGTATAAACACTGCACACCTTTGTTTTAATGTGTGCAGAGCCTGTCTTTAATCCAAGATCTGGACATAACTGGGAAGACTTATTCCTGTCAACCCTCATGAGGACATTGAGGTGAGTGTAAAAGCAACTTGTGCTTAATTAAGAAAACATTTAATATTTTTCATTTCAGAGGGACCATTTTCCTGATGCGGACAGTGAAGCAGCAGAGATTGTTCAACCTTTACATCCAGGTACTCTGTGTAGTCTTGTTTTTTGATAACTTCTGTGCACTTAGCACCCCCCTTATTTCTTCACTAGATACAGTGACGAACTAAGACCTGAACCAGTGCATCATATCATTATAATAAAACCAGCATAATTTTAAGTAGTAATTGCTTTATTGAAAAGAACATCAAAACAAGGCTCAAAAATCACACATAATCAGAGTACCTTTTTTAAATGCTGCAGAGCCAACATGTGCCTGGACCACAGTTATGGAGCGTCTTCATAACTGTGGTCCAGGCACATGTAGTGTAACAGCATGGAGCAAAATGTGAGGTACTCTGCCTTGAGGTACCAGTAGGGATTTCCCATCTTGCCAAAACTTCAGGAGCTGGCTGGAACGGAGTGGCTGCAAAAAAGATAAGTTTTGTAATCATTTGATTAAAATAATAAATGGTGCATTTTTAAACAAACTTGCCTGTCTTTATGCATGTCTTCAATGTTGCCCACTGTCTGGCTGCGGAACGACATCTGGTTAAGGATTGCTTAAGGGGGAAATTGAAAAGGAGCTGATTTATTCAGCAGGTCTGTCACCTTGAATGCAGAACAGGAGGCATTACAGGAATAGAATAAGTTAAGTGTCACATATAGATGTCATAAAATTTTAAGGATGATGAAACGTCTTCATTTGACGAGCACATCTGTCTACCATCTCATACACAATATCTAAAGTTATAGGCACTGAGCAGTGAATTAACCACGTGTAGTTTCCCTGGGTTGTTAACAGGACACCATTCTTTACGTGGCTATTTACCAATAGTTTGAGGTCATTAAAACCTGGCATTGCTTGCACTATCAATAAAACCCGCTGATATTGTTTTTAAATATCAATTTAAACATAACAGGCTTTTCGGGCCGTTTATTAATGACTGGCAACTGATGGTTTGTCTGGACTTCAATCTAAATGAGGCTCCATCTTACGCAGACGTGGCAGAAAAAAACTATACTCACGCCTAAAAAGGTTTCTCCACTACAAGACAGACATCTGTGTCAAAGACCAGTGTCCTCTAAACATCAGTGAACTTGTTGGGGGATTAAAACAAGAGGGTGCTAATGTCAATCTAGTCCAGATATATTCAATATGTAACATCGTTCCCATAACGCTTGGCAGTCAAACTACAGAGCCAACAAGGGATAGGTGACTAGTTACCGTCATGGCAAAGTTTCCTAGAAGCAAGTTTTAACAATTACTCTCGTTGTTAAAATTAGCATGCTAAAGCAAAACAATAGCGAATCGGAGGGCTTACGAAACCTGGAGGACACACGCCTGGTTTGTCTTCAGCCCGAAAGGCTTCTTGCTAGCAGAGTTTTGCTAACGTTACACGCCAACATTTAATCCTCACTAACACTACATAAAGTATCCAACATGAACTCGAAATTACACATTTATTCAACCATTTTACCTCAGAGTAACACCTAAGCACCTGCATACACAAAAAACGCTGTACACTAAAATGTAATTGTTATAATCTACGCCACGATCAAAATATGTATCGCAACCACAGTTTGACAAAGTCACTCAGATTCTTACACTTTCCCATTTTTCCTGCTTCCAACACATCAACGCCGAGAACTGAATAGATTGCTGCCTTTTATACCCCACACACTGACAGGTGCCACCGTAACGAGATAATCAGTGTTAACTTCTTCTTCCTCTGTTTTTTTATGGCAGTTGGCAAACAGCTTTAGTGCATTACCGCTACTTTTCACTAAGAGTGATGAAATACCATTTCAAAATAATGACAAGTTTTAATATTTCTTGAATGATTTCACAATTTGTCTGTGCAAGTATATATTTTACACAATTTATTCATATGATTATTAATTTCAATGTTGTTTTTATGTATTGTTATTACTGAACACTCTGGGTTTCCACAAAAGGCTTTAAATCTGAACTGTTCTCACCTGTAAACCAACACCAAGTGTTTAGCTACTAACTTATTGATACAAACCTTTGCTATGAGCTACCCATAATGGCTACAAGTAGCAGCTACAGTAGTTTTCCTTTCAGCAAACAGCAAATATACCACTGAACATTTTCACAGTATAAAATCTTTTTCCAGCAGCCAGACAGACAGTATGTTAAACTTTGGTTCAATTTGAGTTCACTTTCATTATTCTCCAGTCTCTTTGGAGTGCAGTACAGTCAGTGAACCTCTCTCTCTCCGCCCACTCTATCTCTGTACTGTAGTCCCTAGGGGGTTGCAGTATATTCTGAGTGTTATGCTTGAAAAGAAAGAAGCATAACTCAGTCTTGGCACTGTTGATCTTTTAGAGATGCGCAGCAACAACAAATAAAACAGACACTGGATTAGAACTGTTTACATCAGGAAAAGCTGAAGTGTTGCTAAGAGCTGATGGTTATTGCAGTCCCACAGACAAGCACCCAGAGCAGTGAGGGTTTAGGATGTTTCTTGTGCTTCTACGCTGTTAGAAACATCGACAAAGCATCCAAAGTCCAAACCACTGACTTAGCCAGCGGCCCAGTAAGCATATATTTGGAACTTTTACTGGTTTGCCTCCCACGATGGTGCCGTAGGGTGGAGCTGCACCACCTGTTGGTCAGTCAGGGTATCCATCATGAGGAGGTTTCCTGACTGGACTCGTTCCCATAAGATGCCACCTCCAGCTTGTGCCTGAGGAATGTTTAGTATTAATTAATTTTGTATACTACAACTATAAAAGATTAACTGTATCCAAACTGGAATTATCTACAAGATATCATGTAAAGTTTCACTGAGGTGAAATACTGTGTGACTGTTTCTCCACATCTGGCCTCATTTCAAACACACTGCTGTGTATGTTCTGTATTAATTTCCATGATTATGAGAAAAAATAGCGCTGTTACTCAGTGGACTACAGTTCCATCTTTCAATAAATACAACAATGACATACACAGAAGATGTACTGGTTTAAACAGTTGGATTCCATACCTGTCCATGATGATCAGCATCTGTAAAAGTTGTCCTGAACACACGACATGGATGGCAAGCATCTCTTTGCTGCAACTCAGATGGATGGCTCCAGGGGGAACTGAACCACAGACAGACAGGCATCAACGTGCAAAACATGTACAGAATTACTACAATGATCTGAATTCATTAACAGGGACCAAAGGACAAAATGGACCCAAAGAATTATTCTCTGGATCATTCAAACTCTAGTGTACAACTGCCTCCAGTAGAAAATACAGCTGTGCCACTAATATAATCAGTTGTTCCAGCACACAGTCGTAATTTTATCCACCACAGTACCTTTCTGCTGCCTGAAGGGCCAGAGGTTGTGGTCTGCATCTCACCGGACAGGGCAGAGTTATCAGTTCAGGAACACCTGTTTACTCCCATAATAGTAAAATATTAAAAATAATAATGTTTTGTTGTTTGTATATTAGTGACAAAAATCTGATCTTTAAATATATTAGTAACAACTTTAGATAGCATAGTTGTGTACATTTTTCTTTGCTTTTATCTACTGCACTCTATTTACATTGCACTTATTTATATGCACTCAGAGATAGGCACACCTGTTTCGCCAAGGCAACTCAGCTAGCTTAACGCTAGCTCAGTAGATGAAAATATCATTCTGCCATCTAATGAAATGTTATCCAGACCTTTCCACTTTGTTCCCAGACGACTTTCCAAGTCCATACACTGACATAACACTGATAGGTTAAATATTAAAGACGTTTCACATCTTCTGAAGCTACTGTATGTTTCTACTATATTTGGATTTGAACAGGAAGTGGTTCTTCTTCACCTATTTTAGTTTAAGCTCCTAATGACGTGTACCAGTGCAGCTGCCCCCCAGCGGCCAACAGACAGCATAACACTTTTAACTGTTTACATTAGTGGTTGACAGCTGCCCTCTAGCGGCCAACAGACAGCATAACACTTTAACCTGTTTACATTAGCGGTTGACAGCTGCCCCCTAGCGGCCAACAGACAGTATAACACTTTCAATTGTTTACATTAGCGGTTGACAGCTGCCCCCTAGCGGTCAACAGACAGCCTAACACTTTAAACTGTTTACATTATCGTTTACATTAGCGGTTGACAGCTGCCCCCTAGCGGCCAACAGACAGCATAACACTTTAAACTGTTTACATTAGTGGTTGAATCTAATTACATAGGTACAAGGTGCAATTTTCAGGTGCTTATACCTTACTTGACTATTTCCATTGTATGCTAGTTTGCACTTCTACTTCACCACATTTCAGATGTACATATAGTTTTTCCTCCACTACATTTATTTTACTCACATATAAAATATTTTTAAATTAGCTCCATCTAGACCAGCTACAACATTCAACTGCCCCTGGCACATTACACATTAGTATTAACACCACCATAATAGTAAAATATTAAAAATAATGTTTTGTTTGTATATTAGTGGCCAAAATCACATCTTTAAATATATTAGTAAAAGCTTTAGGTGTGTACATTTTTCTTTGCTTTTATCTCCTGCACTCTATTTACACTGCACCTTTTTGTATGCACTCAAGAGATATGCACAACATATTCCTATGTACCCATACTGTCTGTACTTGTGTAAATGTCAAATAAATCTCTTGAACTTCATAAAATAAATATGAGTATTTAAACCTATATAGAAATATTTGTTTCTTGCTACATATAACAAAATGAAAATTTGTGAGATGGCTGCATTTTTTGCTTTATCTATTATCTATTAGTCTAGCTATAAATGATTTACTTGTGGTTTGTAGAGGGAATTTACATGGATAGGACTTGGGGGGGTGTTAAAGCAAATATAGTGTGTAACAGTATGACTAAAATCCATAAAACTAAAATTGAAGCCTGCTATTTCCAGTGAACAGGTTGCTCCTAGTTGTAAAAAAGAAAAAAATTTAATTACTTTTTGTGACTTGTGAAGCTAACTGGGCCAACACATCACAATGAAAAAGTATTATTGTAACTATTGTACCTCTCCATTCACTTTAAGGTCACAACAAAACCCAACAAACTTAAGAAAATGTACCCATTAATGAGGACACTATCACAGTCCCACTGACGAGTTACAGCAAAGCAACAGTCTAGCAATAAATGGTTTACGAGTGAAAGCTGTCCCAGGCAATCTATCAAACATATATATTGTTCCATCCTTGTGCTACGACACCGAAGTGTCGACTAAAGTCCCTTCTAAGATTCATTCAGGTCTTTATATAAGCATAATATGCTATGAAAATTTTGTCAACATAAATAGTCCACCATTTTGCAGCATCTCCTCACAGAAGATGAGCTGCTGTGTCAAAGGACGTGGATGTTCTCCTTTAGTTCCTGGTTTAGTGCTATAAAAAGTAGATAGCTTGGACTTTCCTAAATAAACACATTTTTAATTTGCACTCAAAAGCAGACAGGGTGATTTAGGAACTGCAGGTAAATGTACAATGTGTACAATTTTAAAAGGAATGAATGAATTTGTGTAGTGATGATAGGGTCTGACCACAAAAAGGGGGAGCTTGGTTTGATGCCAGGCATCTCCCTGCTAAGGACCCACGTTGGATATTGGCCGCACCCTGAGAGGGAATCGAACCCCAACCTGCTGTACCAAAGTCAGTGGTGTCAACCACCAAGGTATCCAGCTGCTGAACAGGTACACATTTAGAATGTTTTCTGGTTTCAGTTTCTCACATCATTGTCACACGAGGCTGAGATTACACAGGGATCTAAACCACACTCATAAAATGATTTATGCTCCAATGATAATAATCCAAAACTGTCCTTAGATGTCTGTCCCATTCAGCCTTCAAGCAGGATAAAGAAAGCTGTGTCAGTGTCACTTTGCTGCAGAACTGACTCTCCTGCTCACTGTTCAATGTCACCGCAGGACAGAGGGACACTAGGGTCCATAGCCTGTGGAGAGCAGCTGGCTTCAAGAGTCCCGAGCAGCCCTGATCGGCTCCCTGAGGCATCCAGGGATCAGTGGGGATGTGGGCTCAGCAAAACATCCAGCCTTTCATCCACTCCTGGAATGGAAAGTACTCACAGGAGGGATTTCACCAGCGCCACCATATGGTCAACACCACATGCTACATCCACGACTTGACCTGGCACAGTCACCTGACAGAAGAATTACACAGAGGAACACGACTTAGAGGAGGAACTTAGTGAGCATGTTAATGGGCAACAGACACTCTCATGCACTTTCTGTACTTCTACATACAGTGATGGGAAAAGGAACATTTATTTAGTTTCTTGTTCTCTGAAAGTGCCACACTGAGAAGCAGTACACTTACAAATCCTGTTAAGGTCCTGAGGAGACATGCTAATGCAAGTCTGGTTGACTTACAGTATATTAGAAATCTCTACAAGCGACATACAGGTGCAGATTTTTTAGCAACCTCACAAATATTTTACATTTAGATGTTATATTTTAAAAGGGAAATGTTATTTTGATAATAAAATAAAGTACATTACCAAATACGTCTATTTTGAGCAACGTTTTGAATGTTTAGAAGATCAGCTAGAAAATACTACCACACAAGTACACAGAAACATGAAAAACACATACAGTGTGCAAATTTATTTTAAAAAATTAAGCTTTAAAAAATTTTTGAGAGAAGTAACTGGACAAAAACTTGGTTAGCTTTTTCCTCTACACAGCACCTAGCTGCATGTTCAGCTCTGTTTTGACTAATATTGAATCAGTGTCGTCTTACTCGCCATGGGAAGTACTGGTCGTCTCGCTTCCCGATGCCCAAACAACCCCGCACATTCTTCCCCCAAACGAAGAGCTCGCCCCGATCTGCAATGCAACCGTCAAACATCAGTTTGCTAGATTGAAAAAAATGGTAATGGTCTTCTCATCATACTTTCCACTAGACAGCAAATAAGTGAATTCCCTAAAGCTAGTCCTTTAATGGTTAAGGCTCCAAAGGACCGTTTTCCACAATTTGTCCTCAGGGGGTGTTCTGTCCCACATTCGTTTTACTGTGTTCTGTTCAAGTATCCACTGCTGTGGTTAGTCCTTCTTTCTGATCAGAGGTGGCAGATGTATTCAGACAGAAATCAGTTGTATGACAAACAATAAACTAGAGTTCCTTTTTTATTGAATTGAATTGTTTTTGAATCGAAAATCGTTCATGACACCGGGAATCACAGTCAAATCAGGAGTTAAAGATTCCCACCTGTGCAAAGTGCAGTAAATAAAAGTATAAAGTACATAATTGAGTAAAAGTACAATATATGTATTATAATGTGTAGTTTAGTATAAAGTACTATAAACTAGAGATATTCAAGCAAAACACAAGTACCTTAAAATTATACTAAAGAACAATACTTCAGCAAATCTACTTAGTTACAGTAGTTTCCAATAATTGATTCATTCAAACAGTCACTGATTTTATGAATTCTGAAAATAGTCAATGATATTATAACCAAGGCCAGATACCTCTGTCATGACCTTTTCAGCTGTTGGCTGGTTCCAGAGTTTAAAATTGGCTAAAAGGGCTTTTCAGTGTGACCTTGAATGTTCATATCATCCACTGCATGAACAGAGTGTACACCTTCTCTCAGTCTGTTGTTTTAGGGATAATAACAAGATGGGAAAACAGATTTTGATGTTCGGTTTCATAAAGCAACTAAACTACCCAACTCAAAAGTTCACTGCTTCCCCAGACATCTGTACCTCACTTTTAGCACTTCAGGCTGGATGAGACAGAATGACTTTGCTGTTCATGAGTTTTATGTTTCCCTATTTTATCCCTGCTAGAAAAAAAAACACTCCTAAAAAAAAAAAACAGACATTTTAAAGATGCAGCAGTAAACCCGGTGTACTGCTGACACCTTCAAATTAGTGGAAATATGTTTAGAGTTTCTGTGCCTGTAGACATCCTACAAGTGACAAGACAAACATTATTACCTGTTATTGCAGCAAAATGGCTGAGGCCACACCTAATCCTGGTGACGACGACTGATGGGTTGAACTCTGAGCGTCCGAACAGGGAGGAGGGAATCATCTCCGGGACTGAAGATTCTGATAGCTTTGGGCCTTTTCCAAGAATGCCATATCCCCACACAAACACCTCTCCTTTTTCTGAAAGGATTTTAAAACTCATACAGGTTTATTCTGATATTTTTTTCCTCATATTGTGAAACAAATGCCAATTATATTAGGTAGATATACATACAATTGGACTGTATAATGAGAACAAGATACTGTGGCATACTAGCACCTCTGTAGTGCTCCGACTTAAATGCTAAGATGCTGACGTTAACTAAGTATTATGCTTTGTTCAGCATCTTAATCTAGCATGCTAATGTTAGATAATAAGCACCAAACACAAGGTACATCTGAGGCTGATGGGTATTATTGGTGCTGCAGGTATTTGGTCATAAACTAAAGTATTGGACAAACTGGAATTTTGAGCTGATGGTGGCCCTGAAGGGAAAGTAAGAGAATCATCACAGTTATTGTTATTCCCCCTTAGGAGGACAGTGAATAGTTGTTGAGGTAATTTAATAAAAAACAAAACCTCCCTCCTGACCCTGAATAAGTAAAAGCCTAGTTTTCTCACCTTACACAGATGTTTACCTGAAAAAGTTGGTGGTGTTGCTTCCTGTCTGTGTCAAAACAGTAAATTAAAAACAGGCCACTTTCTACAAAAGGAATCAAACTAGAAGCCAGACGCACAGACCTGTGATGCCACCAACAGGCAGCATGTGGAGTCCCCTCTTTGACACCAAAATGACAAGACTGATTTCATGATCTTAGAGCCATTTGAACTGTTCTGCTGCTGTGCTACCAGGTCAGAAAGCTTCTCTTTATTCCTAGGAGCACCTTAATACAGCCACTGTATGTAAACAGGCTCAGTCATTTGCAGCTCTACAATTCATACTCACAACACAGTGTCCACATTTACGTAGGTAAATAGTGTTTGTATAAACTAACCATTGAGAATGGCCACCTGCGTGCCTCCGCATGTTGCCTGAACCACCTTTCCACAGCCTTTTAGAGGAAGATGTCGAGGAGAGTTCATCTGAAAGATGAAGAAAATGTGAACACGAGTTTAGTGAAAGGGAATAATGTTGCTAGATAAGTTTGCTGCTGGTCCCTCTTGTATTCCCAAACTGGCTTCGCTCCTCTGCAGTGTGGTGACTGCTTTAAGAGGCATAAAACAACTTTCTTCTCACATTTAAAATTAGATATGAAGGAAATTCTCAAATGGTCTGACCTGTAGTACAAGTCATGTACAGGTAGTAGGTCTTCTCTACGGGAAATAAAAATTAATATGAAAGAATCTGGAGTAGAAATATATTACAGAAATCAACTAAACTACATGAAAATTGAATAAAGCTTAAAATATTTTGTTTATCCTAAGTGTGGTGTGTGTGATTGCTTGCCAGGTTTCCGAGGTGTCTGACACCGACAGCTGTAATATGTTCTAATTTCTTCTGATCCATTAATCTCTCCTCTGACACTGTAAAAATTTGTTACGTTTTCATCTGCTGGTTTGCAGGACTCCACACTGAACCTGTATGACAATATTTCAGAAGACCTGATGCGACTGTGTCAGCCACCCCTCGACATTTCTACCCAACATGTCATTCCTCACCTGTGTGGCCTCAGTGACCAAGGCCAGCTGTAGGTATTCAGAGTTGCCCCATCCATACACCTGTCCATCTCTGGACACAGCCAGGCTGCAGTCTCCATATGTGCTGATCTGCTGCACCTCCACACCGGCCAGATCCCCACCCACCTCCACCGGACTGGAGCTGATACTGTGGTGTCCCAGGCCTGGAGGACAAGTAACACTAATGATCAAACTGCTACAAGGGGAGCACACAGCTGCTGAGGCATTATTTGGAGTGACTGCACCAAGTATCACTGCTCATGATGAGCAATACTTTATTCAGAATTTTAGCCTGATTTGAACATTTGACTGAAAGTTACACAACATTTAAATCTGGTACTTAGGGGTGCAAACAACAAGAATAAAGCTGGGATTGGTTTTGGGATTGCAATTTTATTTCTGGCTTTCAAGGTTAAGGGGGGTTACTGTGCACTGACCCGTCTGTCCATCTGCTCCCCATCCACATGCGAACACTTTTCCTGTCTCAGTGAGGAACAGACTGTGGTCCTGCCCACACGCCACCTGGAAGAAAAGAGATGTGTCCGCAGCGATCAGATCCCATTCATATTTTTTTTTTAAAAGACATGATGCCGTCATCTAAATGTGTCCTACAAACAATTATAAAAACAAAACACCCAAACAAATTCCAGAGTGGTTATAGTCATATTTAAGCACATGAGCCAGTGTGAATGTTAAATTAATTCATCTGATACAATTCAGTTAATAAGCTTGTTAAAATAAACTGTCAGGACAGAAAACTTAAGCATGTACTGAATTCAGTTTGAGAAGAAGTAATTATTGTAGCAACAGAGACAAATGACAATGTAATGTGAACAGTATCCAGCTAAACTGTATGTGGAGACGTGCACCCAAAATCCTGGTATAGGAAGGAGAGAAGGAGACTTACTGAGCCAAAGACATCCGTCATCACACTTCAGACACTCACCTGGATGACCCTGCTGCTGAAGCCTTCTATCTTGTGAATGATGTGACTTCCACTATTTGAACAGGAGACAGAGAAATAACTAATTTGTCACTCAAGGACAGCAGCATCTCTAAGAGAGGTCATATCCTTTCAGCTGTCACTTAACCTCCCGCTTACACTGAAAGAACATAACTCTATGTTTAGAGCAAAATGCCTGTGTGGTGAATGATACTTACCAGCTCAAACTTAAGAAATAGCAAAGTGAAAGTAAGTAAACCTTGAGTTTAGACTTTCCATCACTGTACGTGTTTTCAGACCTTTAAAGGGAGCTTTGAATGACATTTAAGACATTATTCCCAACTAAAAACATCCACCTGAGTAAGACTGTAACAACAAAGAGGAAGTTCAGTTTTGTAATATTAACAGATTAGTTAATTGCTGTGGTATTGGAGTGCATTGACTAAAAATGACAAAAAAGTGCAACAGGTCAAAAAACATGAGCAATCACATATAAGGTTTACACACTGGAGTCCTTGATAAACTTTGAGCTACCATGCTTATTCATGGTTCACATCATGAGGGAGTTAATATGATTACCAGGCTCTAACTTGTGAATACTGTACTTACAAGTCATAACTACAGCAGGATCTTATACAGCTGAAAACCAAACCGGTCAGTGATCTCTGGTGGATAAACTATGTAAAGGACACTACACTACATTACCTCAAACATCTTTAATATACCACTATATCTTGTTGCTTGCCGGCTGACATAGACAGCACACTGACACTCCATTGGCAGTTTATTACATACACCTGGCTAAAACTAATGAGGTCTAATACAAACGTCCTGCAATAAATCCTCCCTCACTGTTTGTTCAAACCACTTTAGACATGTGTTGGTTCAGCTGTGCTGCTGTTGAACTGTACTGTGTCAAACTGACAAGTGTTTCTATTATTTTGCCCACTCCATTTTTATCAGTGAAGCTAGGCTAAATAACAGAAGGACCGCTCGGTACAATGCAGTACAGTTCCACGTGGTATGTGATGAGACTTGGTGCTATACTAAACTTTCTAAAAAGGCAAACGTTAGCCAGAATCTGTTGTTAAAGTAATTAAATGCTTATTTAATGCCTATAATATTACTGAGAATGAACAGCACCTTTGGAGACTGCTATCACTACCTTATGGAATACATACAGTAAGGTGAACATGGCATTACTGTACTACATTTGCACAAGCATGTCAAACTAGAGGTAACAAAAATAACACTTAAGTTGCAATAAACTGAAACGTTTGACAAATCTGCCGCCGACATTGAAAATGATTCTCTGTGAAATGAAAGCATTATTTGATTGGAGAAATCAAGTGAAAGATCTTGAAACATTTACTGTTGTTGGTGGGTGTAATGTGCATTAGGACACACCTGTAGACTTCATCCTCAACTATTCGCCTTCCACACTGGCCAAATGCATTGTTGCCCATACTGAAAACTTGGGAGAGAAAAACAGAAGAGTCAATTATTTGTTACCTGTCACTTCTAAGTTATATTTATGCTACTGTGATTCTTTGTTTATGGACTTCACTGCCTTTTGTGGTGTCTTTTTTCCAATGGGACTAAACACAATTCAATTCATACATAATGATTTACAAATTAGAGCTTGGGCATGGGCAATTAGAGCATGTGGGAGGCGGGTCGTGACACAATCATGTAGCCAGTTTGTAATTTGGTCATAAACAACCAAGTCTCTTGCTATACCCCAAGTCTGTCTGATGATTCTGGTGCTGGCTCTTAACAACAGAAGTTCCTGAATATCTTCATGTCTCCACTCAGATATTTGAGTGGAGCTGTCTGATAATCACTCATTTTCAGTGAGCGGTGGGTGGAAGATATAAAAGGACACACAGTGTGACAGGTGGCCGGTAGCAACGCAGTACCAGGTGTTCTTCCTCTTTTCACAAATTGTGATGAACAATAGATTGTCAAATCTCCTCTGAAAGGGCTTCAGTGTTTTTAGCAAAGTTTGGCATGAAGTTATTTCTGTAAAAGGCAAACATCTTTATACCACAGTGGGTATGCATCTATGCATGTGCAGCAGTTGTAAGTCTCTTACCTCCCTCTTGATCAGTGAGGACCAGGGAGTGAGCTCGACCACATGAAACCTGAATCACTCTGGCCTGCAGAGGCTCAACAAGAGGCAGAGCCACCGGAGATGGCTCCAAGACAAAGTCATAACTCTGATCTACAGACAGGGCATCAGAAAGGGCAGGGATGTCAGGCAAGGTGCACAATGTGTCCGTATTTAAGATGTCATTATATGTACATTTCATAATAGGACAACACATAATGAAGATATGTAGCATGATATTTCCTTTGGGTTACAATTGTTTATGTTTGTCTGTTTGTTCTACTTCTATTTGTGCTGCATTTGATGAGCTGTTATGTAGCTGGACATAACAGGCTAAAATCATCAAGGAACCAAAGGTGAGAAAAGCAGGGTACATGTGCCTATTTGTGCCGTATATTTGGCTGCGTACGAACACCAAAAGTCTTTATATACACAGGTTTGACCAATTAATGTTACAAAAATGGATATGATGATTGATTATGTTCATGTTAAACTCTAAAACCTAACTGAAACCAAGAACATCTAGATTAGATTTTCCTGTGACACAGCCATTCCATTTAAACCCTAGCTAGTGCATATGCAGCTTCCTCACTTTTACCACTAGAGGGCTGAAACTGTAAAGTTCTGACATATACCATAATTAAAAGCAGAATTTATTTTTACAGCTACATTACTTGATTTGAGACTGGCGGCCTGTCCAGGATGTACCCTGCCTCTCACCCAATGTCAGATGGAATTGGCTCCAGCCCCCCTGCAACCCTATTCCGTAATAAGCAGTATAGATAATGGATGGATTACTTGATTTGATCATCACTACAGATGATCCTTTTCACATTAAACATAATCACTGGATCCACTGTTCATACAAACATGTTTACGAATGCAGCATACTGTAAATTTACAAGTTGAAGCACGTTAAGCCAAGTGGAGTTAATCAGTATTTCTGGTTTTGTGTTAACAGTCTAGTTTTTTCTTACGCCTGTTGTGCTGGGTGCGCTGAAAGCCAAGCTGAGAGTCCTTGTTCAGGCCCATGCCCCACAGCTTTGACATATCTTTGGTCGAGGAAGCGATGAGAGTGAAACCGTATCCACAAGCAGCAGAAGAGATCTACAAGAGAAGGAGAGCTTAGCCTTAGAAGGTATTTCAACGATCTCCACACTGTCATCATAATAATTTTCTGTGCATTGAAGATGAAGACTTTAACCTGCTCTTTCAATCAGAGCTCCAGTCAGTTTTGCAATAAGAGCATCCTTATCAAATTAAGAATAGGATTGTACTGTCATCACTGATAACTGAGCCCCGAGCCAGGCACTAATAATGTTACAAGAAAAGTAGTTGCTTTGTCACTTTGTCTCATTCCAGACAGCACTGGAAAGATATTATTTTCATCAACTCAAACTCTAACGGCATTAACAGTTTGCACTCAATGAATAATTTTAAAAGCAATATTGCATAAGTGAATTATATTAGTCAAGCCACAATATTAAGTATATCCTGTTTCATTTTGGTTGAACCACACTGCAATTATTAACAGGAAAGCAGAAAATACTTTGCAGTCAGTCTCCGGCAACACTTGACTGATATCTTTATAACATTTCACCTAAAAACTAAATAGTGTCATATATCTTGAAACTCAATGCAAACATTTTTCAAGGATGATTTCACCTTCTCTGCAGTTTCCAGGCGGTAAGGAGTGAGCTGATATTTGCGGGGCTTCTTCCTGCCACTGTCTGGCACCACAAAGCTGGGAATACCCAGAGCACCAGAGAAGCTAAAGCCCCAAACAAACACTTTGTGCTTGGGCTTCTTGTGCTGGCCAACATACTGAAAAACTGGACCACTGTTGCTTTTCTCTTGAGGTCTGGATGTGTTTCGGAGAGTCGTATAACCACAGACTTGAAGCCCTGTGCCCAAACGTTGAGTGCACAGCCGCACATGTAGAAAAGCCATCCTGCAGAGAAACAAGAGAGGGCAAACAACTGGTTCACTGAAACTTCTAATAATGCTGTAGCTTTCATTAGATGAGATTTCATGTAAATTAAAATGTCCAAAAGACAAAGGCCTAGTTACAGTAGTGTAACTATAGCCATTATACGGGTAGTCATTTGTACAATTTGTAAATTCAGATTTATTACAGTGAACATTTTCAGATGTACTTTCATCAAAATTGTAAATTCTGTGGAGCGAACCAACGTAACCAATATTAGGTTAGAATGACTCTATAAGTGAAGTTTGGTTTATCTGAATAATACCGATTTGAAGAACAGCCCTTTATCATCCAAGTAACGTAGTACATGATATTCTAATGATAAAGTAAACTAGCCAAAAATCACTGACGTTTTAAATTATGAGTAATAGGAACACAATTTCACCTCGTGTTGTGCCTCCGCTTTCCACATGCAGCCACTAACCGCGGGTGAACCTGCCTTTGCTTCACGTTGCCTTGGTGTTGTAATGTGTTTCATACGTTTAGGAGCTAACTTTTATTGTACATGAGCTACAATGGTGCAGCTGAAATAGCAATAATATATTCCAGTCATTACATCGTGTTTGTGTTTTCTTCTTCTTCTTCTTCTTCTTCTTCTTCTTCTTCTTCTTTTGCTTTCGCCTGCCGGCTTAAGGTGCATTATCGCCACCTACTGAACTAGATATTGGTTAGATGGGGTGGGGGATGATGACTACCAAATCCTATCTATAACACCTTCTGTCCATCCATCCATTCATTTACTATACCTCTTATTCCTGAATAGTTTTGCTGCTGGTCTAAAAAAAGCCATCCAGTATAATTCCCTGTATTTCCATTTAAGGATCATATTTCACCTTTACTTTGACTGTACCTCTCAGCATATAGGGAAAATAGATGGGGTTTAGGTCTAAGTCTTTATTTAAATATCTTAACAGCGCTACTTAAAACAACAAAAAAAAATCCTCCGAAAATGTTGTTAAATGTAGAAACATAAAAATAACCAGCATCACGAGAAGCATGATATAAATAAGTGGAGCAATGAGACTGGACTTATGAAGTAGGTCATTTAAAACCTTATCAGCTCTGCCTTGTATTTGAAAGAAATCAGACTTGGTGTTAAATGAGCAGACTATAAGTTTATTTTTACAGTAGTGTGATACAGCTGCAGGCTTGTAGCCTTGTATCACCTGTCTTGTCTAAAAACAGGCATCTGATGAGATTAGAGACTGTAATCCTTGAAGAGGATCAAGTCTGAGATCCGGGGGGAGGGATAGAGGATCTAATCTACACATGGTATTTCTATCATCTTGACAGTGAACATGTGTCCGTTTGAAATGTGCTGAGCCTTTTTGCCTTTTATGAACGTAAACAGTGATGGAGGGTGAGGTGATGTATAATTGTTGGAGTTATTAAAAACATGTATCCTGAATCTGAGGACACCTGAGATGAGGTAAGGTCTAGATAAGCAACAGTTTGTAAATTTAGAGTGACTGCCTTACACATATGACAGTTATATGTCTTTTGTAGTAGTGTCACCCAGTGAAAATCACCAGGTCATTGATGGCATTCAGTATTGTGTCTGTGCAATTTTGGCCCAGTGATGTTTGCTTTAATAACAAAATATTTTCATGTAGTATTTTTTTTATAACAACCTCAGAACTAATCTGTTAAATGTTATGGTGTCAGTTTGTTTTGGGCCTCACTAGACCATCTGGGCTGAAAAGAAATTTAGCAAACTAGCATTAAAGGCCTCTTGAGGGAAGTAATATATATTTAGTTGGGTTTGAAAAAATATTTAAACTAAATACACATGAGATTAAAACTGCCACAATTAAGAGAAAACACAACAAGTTGTGCACAATCTGTGATGCTGACATCTTATGTTCCATACAGACAGCCATGTCGGCACTGGAAGTCATCTGCAGCCTGACTGGCTGGCTCTGCCTCTATGTGTTGTTCTGCTGTACCTTCACCCAGCGGGGGCCTGAGTGGAGCTGTCGCCTGGTCACTTTGTCCCACGGTGTCCTCATAGTGCTACTGACAGCATACGTTGTTTTCATAGATGGACCGTGGCCCCTCACACATGCAGGTCAGTGGTATAAAGTAAGAATAAAGTGATGAGCAATATATGTGCAAAACACAGCGACATGACCTGAAGCTTATAAATGCAGCTTAAAATATGTATTGCTAAATTGTTTTTAATGCAAGAAAATGTTAGGTTACCATGATTGTAAATCATTCTGTAAGTGTTATAAATGGCTAAAAATAATGGTTAGTGCTTTTAGCAGCCTATCACTCAGGGTGAAACAAGCTTGGCAACACAGTTCTGTGTTGTTCTCTGTTGTATCCACATGAATGTTCAGCAAGGATCATTAGAGCAACAAACAACATAAAAATTGTTGTTTTGGTTAAATAAGAAGCATAATAACAAGTGGTTTAGTGATGCACAGAGCTGAGAACACTGACTAGGCACTACTCGTACTTTAATTTAACCATTAACTCAATTAATGAGCAGTAAGTCATAAATAAAAAAGAATGAATAAATGGAATCAACTAATGAATAGATCGGTCAAGCACACAGCTTGCATTTAGTTTGTGTGAATTTGAGAGACATTTGCCACTTAGAGTCAAAGCACACAACATACACTACAGTTTTGGAGAATTTTAACTCATACACTGTAATTCTAGTTTCCCTATTTTAAATGCTTGGTCTTCACATTACATGTTACTCACTTGTCTGACCCTGTTCCTGTCTATTCCAGGTGCAGAAAACACTGAACTCCAGATCTTCACCCTGGCCATCTGCCTTGGCTACTTCTTCTTTGATATTGGCTGGTGCGTCTGCTACCGTACAGAGGGCCCCATCATGCTGGCCCACCACGCTGCAAGCATCCTGGGCATCCTGCTTGTGCTGCTCATGGGCGTGTCAGGCTGTGAGACCTGTGGAGTTATCTTTGGCAGTGAGATCACCAACCCCCTGCTGCAAACCCGCTGGTTCCTTCGTCAGCTGGGCCTGTATGACAGCCTGCTAGGTGACGCAGTGGACCTGCTCTTTATTTTGTTGTTCACTACTGTACGCATGGGACTTGGAATGGTGATGTTTTACTGTGAGCTCATGTCTCCCAGGACTCCAGTGATAATGAAGCTTGGTGGTGTGGTTATGTATGGACTAGCCTGGGTGTTCATGGTGGACATAGCCAGGTTTGGCTATAAGAAAACCAGGGCTAAGTATGAGAGGTGGATAGAGAACCACAAGCACAAAGACATCGACACACAAAACCTGGATGGACATTCAGACAAGACATTACTTGCAACCAGGTCACAGAAAGTGTCCTGGATAAAGATGATCAGACACTAAAACACTGCTCAACTGTTTGTAACATAATGCAGACAGAATTTTATAATTCGACAAATGATCACTGTGTCTATTTTATCTGTCATCATGACAGTCATGAGGTAAACGCAGAAATGCCTTGTTCATATTACCAAGTAATACATTTTCTGGATGATGTCACGTTGCAGCAAAAGTTGAGTCCCCTGCAACGCCACACTGGTGTCATCCAAACAAACCAGAGGCGTGCATTTTTTTGGCCTTTACAACTGTTTTCATAGGGAAAGTAATACTCTTCTTGATAAGTAAGCTAACATTCATGTGTAAAACTGGTGGAGTGCCTCTTTAACTATAATGAAACAAATCACCTTTGACCTTTAAAGCAGCAACATCCTCTTTGTAATGCAAAGCAACGAACTCTGTGATCTGACTGACAATACAATGAAGGCACTGATCAAATTAGCCATGGTCTGATTTCATAGCTGTTGCCAAATTAAAGCTACAATATAAGACTTTGTTTCAAATATTTTTTGTTGTAGAACTCTGCTCCAAAACTAGTCTTAATGTGGAGAGGGGCCATGGAAGCTTCCTGTGAACCAGACTCACTGAACAGCACTGGCAGTGCAGAGATATTAGCTTCTAAAGGGTTTTGAGTGGGATTGGAACCTTTACATAAAATGGATTTGAAAGAGAGTGATGCTTGGGTGAAACATGCCAATGCAATAATGTATACATACATGCCTGATAGGCTATTAAAAAATGATATGATTCACATTTTCTCAGAGGTATCAACCATATTTTAAGACAGCGCGCAAAAGAAAAACCAGTCAGAATGATGGTCTAGAATTATTTATTATATCACATTTGTGTGGGGAAAAAATATTCCAGTGGTACTGTATATAACAATAATTTTTTTCTGATATAATTAACTAACTAATGCATCCTGGATCTGGAGAAGCTGTATAAAATGGATGGATTAACCAATTAAAAATGATTAATTTGTTTATGTAGAGGAGGTTCCTAAAAAATCCACTTTTAGTTTTGAAGTGTGCAACATGGCCATACAGCCTGCAATCAGATCCAAAGAGATTTTTGTGCTGGTGGTGGGCATGTCCCAGATACAAACTGAGCCCTTAAATTGATTTTGAAACTCTCCACCGGAGACCAGCTAAAATGAAGATGTACATTTTCTTTCTCTTCATTTCAGTCTCCTCTCAAAAATGAGCCACTTTGTTTTCTCACCAAAGTCAGCAAACAGGATAGCAGGGTTAATAGTGATGTAATAATAAAAATTACATTTTGAAAAGAACATTTACAAAACAAATTGATGCAGCACAGATACAACATCCTCTTTTTAGGTAGTTTCTGTTAAAACGTTACATGATTGAACTGCGAAAAAAAAAAAAACAAGTACAACACGAAAAACATTTGCTATAGTCATAATTGTACATTATATTTCTTTACATTAAAAACAGTCCATAACAATCGTTCTTGTTCATATATATAAATATTTTAGGTTTCTCTTTTCTTTTTGTCTCTTTTGTCCAAAAGTCAAAGCCATAATGTCACCTGTGCAGTCTTGTGGTACGACCATGACAGTGAGGTGCAGAGGTCTGATGAGTGAATCTTTCTGCCTAAAGACAAAGAGCTGGGAATGAAATGCAAAGCAAGCTGGCATTACAAGCTGAGGGTGGGTTTTATGAATAGTTGGTTGCAGGAACTGAAAACATTCTGACATTTTTTCAGGTGAAAAAAGATTAAATTCATTTTTAGTGTTTGTACAGAAAAGGGAAAAAAACTCAGGTTTGTCATTCACATCATTGTGCACACTATCATGGACATATACAAATATGGAAAAATGTAATTCTATAATGAAGTTCAATTCATTAAAATGTAATGTGCACACACTCTGCAAAATCTGTTAGGTGGTGCTATTAGATGCATGTGGCATCAGAAAAATACCAGCAGTTACACAGTGTATGAGCATTTCTTTTCATAGCTGTTGTTTTTGTTGTTTCAATTTGCATACTGCACAATGTTTGGCGCTTTATTGATCCATGAGTCATTGATTCATTTTTTTAAACACAAAGATTAAGGAGTTTCTGTTTTTCCTCCATCTGCCGCTCCATCCTTCTCTATTGTTTGTTTATTTTTTTAGCAAGACATGTTTAGTTTGGCTGGGTGGTTGGTACATGAAACTTTAGCAGTGAAGTGCATCCTGGCCTTCCTCATTAGATGTTTTTATTTGTTTGCCATATTATGCTACATTCAAGTGTAATAGGAAGTTTAGTTGCTATACTGCTTTATACTTGCATGCTATTTGCCCAACAATCAGTATCCAGTCGCCACAAATACAATCCAATCTACCTAGACAAAAAAAAATATGAATTTTACAATCAAATGCCTCAACTATTTTAGCTGTTTAAAGGAACAGTTCGCCATTCTGATTATCTACTTTCTTTTCAAGAGTGAGATTTTGTGTGAATACAGCACCTTCTCATGCCTGTGCATTCAGTATGTAGATGCCAGTATGCTGTTAGCTTAGCTTAGCATAATGAGTGACAGCAGGGGGAAACAGCTATCCTAGATCTGTCAAAGCCACAAACTAATGTTTACATTACTGTTTGTGTATGAATTAAACAATCAAAACACAATTTGTTAACTGGTGAGATTTAGCTGTGTTTTTAGACATAGTCAGGCTAACTGTTCCTCCTCAATTTCAGCATTTTGCCAAGTTAAGATAAAAACATATAGTACAATATAAAACAGCCTTTGAGACATTTGGGAACAGTAAGAATGATATTATCATCATTATTATAACAGCTTTTGAACAATTTCTGTGAATGTTGCTGAAATAAAAAATAAAAAAAACAATCAGTATGCTGATAAGAAACTTTCAGGGCTGTTACAAAATAAGGAAGTCCATCTTTAAGCATATTCAACTATGAAGCATACTGGGCTGAATAGCTCTTATCTCTTATTGCAGATATTTACATCAAGCTTACACAGTACTCTGAGTCCTGAACAAGTCAAACTATGTTTATCATCAGATAATCATTCTGGTCACTGACACAGCTTTCATGCCTCTTTTCATTTCTGAATACTTCTCTGCTGTATATCTGTGTGACTTCACACCCTTCCTTTTCCATTTCAAATATCCAGCGTTTAAGATAGTTTATGCATTTGACTGCTATTATAGTAAAAGGTGACTGACCCATCCTCTGGTAATTCCACAGTGTCTCTTGTAAGAAGTAGCTCCTGCTCAACATGATGATAACACCTTCCACTAATTGTGGAAAGTCACCGATCAGACACTAAGCTTCCATTATTGAGCTGAACCAGAGTTCTGAGGATGAAGTGATTTAAACCTTTTCTCATATGACCGAGGGAATAGAAAGTCTTTTATGTCTGAATCCCATCTGAAAAATACAAAACACAAGATGTCTGAGATGCCAGTAAATGTACAGATCAAATGATCAGTTCATTGTTTCAAGTAACTGAGAAACTTGAAACACACCATTGTTGTCATCTGAGTCAGTAGCCGTGTCACTGTGTGTTTGACACAGCTCGTTGTACTTCATCTCCACCTCCTGGAAGCAGACCATTAAAAAACAAAAAGCATAAAAAAAATGTTCTTCACAGATCAGGCAAATGTACAGTTGAACAAACAGCATTTGATTCACATGCAAAAAATGCAGGAATGAAGAGGTGAAAGAGGCTGTGATTAGATGTGTGATATACACTGATTTAATATGGGGAAACATTAATAAATATATATAAAATAAATACATCCATTTCTTTTTTCTTCAAAAGAGAGCTATGAAAAACAAAACGACAAAAAACTACTTATCATGAACCAACTGTAAAATTTCTAAGATCCTGAGATTTAAAACAGTAAAGATAATTTATAAAGTCAATGTGAATGCCTATAACATTTCAGTCTAGAACCAAAACTGGCTGTCAGCAGTGTCCATTACCTTCAGATACTGCAAGTCAGCCTGTAGGAGGCGCAGGTGGGTCATAAGCTGCCGGCTGAGGTTGGGGCCATCCCCTGTCTGTGAGGAAGAAGACAGCAGTTTTCTCATGTCTATCCCCACATCACCTCCACCATCATCATCTGTGCTGCTCTCCTCGGAGCACACACTGAAATCCAGAACAACAAAACCACCTAGGCAGAGAGGCAGAGCAGGTGGAATGGATCAGAACTGTTACAGTCAAAGCTCCACACAGAAAACCTTCAGAATGATTCCCTCACCATTGCGTTCACTTGTCTCAGGGGGGTCTGTGTGTCCAGAAAAATGACCAGATGTTTGGCTCTCATCACATGCAGCAGGAAGCCCCTCAGGGCCCCCAGTCGAGGAGGCAGTCAGCTGACACCCTGGGGTCCCAGTCTGCTTGTTCTTCTCTTTCTCCTCCTCTGCCTCTCTGCTCATCATGTGGTTGAAAATAGCCTGCTTCAGCAATGCCACTAAAACAGAAACAAAAGTGTTATTTAATGATGCCATTTCATGGTGTTTCCACTCTGCAAAAAATACATTTGACACATTTCTCAAAACCATCTCCAGATAAACCCAAAACTATCTAAATGTCTAGATAACAAAGGTAAGTGTGAGATTGTTTTTATAAACTTGGTGAACTGACCCTTTAACTTGTAACTTACATGTCTGTAGAGCATCTTCAGCTTTGGAGGAGGGTATGATGAATTCAGTTTCTTGGTTTTCAATAGCAATGCCCTGACGTGAACCTTCCTGCCGCAGGAAGGGCAACCTGTCTGCCAGCTGCCCATCCAGGAAGGCTTCTAATTCTGCTTCATCCACCTGTTCATCCTCCTCCTCTTCCTCGTGTCTCTCGGACATAGCCAGCTCATCCTCCTCATCCTCTGATTTCATGCCATCAAAGGGGTTGATACTCATCGGTGGAGCCTGAATGTCTGCAAAAGAGGTGACATCTTTATCTGAAATTCATTGAGAAAAGGGAATATTGTACCTAAAAACATGTATGTATCTGTAACATGTTAAATAACTTGTGTAAAAAAATTAAAGCTATGAGGTACTGTATGGCAAGTTCTAATTCAAAAATTCACCTGAGGAAAGTTATAGAATACTTTTAGATGTGACGCCTGTGGTCAAAACAGTGAATAGATGGACTGAACAGGAGATGGACAGATTGGAGTGTAACCAATTTTCAGCCAACAACCCCTCATCTCTCTGGAGACGCCTGAAAAACATCACTAGCTCCAGGAACCATCCCCCACTGCTGTGGAAGACCATCAACTTGGCAGACGACCTGAATGTGTTTTACTGTAGGTTTGAGAAGCAGAACTCCCCCTTCACCCACCTCACCTCAGACCCAGCAAGCTGCTCCCCCCATGATCACCACCCTCAGTGCAATACCTGTAAATATGCTTTTGTATATATGGGTATGAAAAACTGCACCTAAACTGTGTGTATATATATATTTCTATATTGATAAGTACTGATGCACATTCTTTTTCTGTTTTTTGTTCTCACTCGTTTACTTGTCTATTCGTTGCCTTACAGAAGAAAACTGTACATACACACTGAAAGTCAATGTACCAGATTTAAATTCCTCATGTGTCCAACACACATTGCTAATAAAGCTGATTCTGATTGTGATTATTGTCATTGCACATTTCTAGTAGAACAAAACTGACTGTGTTGAAGTTAGTTATTTGATGAGCTTTTTCATTCCATTTGTTGTGTTTTTAAATTAAGTTTATAAAAATAAAACTACCGGTATGTTTATCCCTGAGGGGAATTTGCAAACAGATCAACAGGAGCACACTTTGTTTGTCTGAAAATAGTGAAAAACAGTTTCCCACAGCTCAAAATAATGTCTTTTAACCAGCAGTTCAACCCTAACACATGCAGTTTACTACAATATAAATCAGCAAATCCTGACAATTGAGAAAGTGCAACCAAAGAATACATGATAACTTTGCTTGCTAAAATACTTAAACAATTCTCACAACTGTTGTCAATTACTTTTATTGACTAATTAAGAGGTTCTCAGATTTTTTGGTTCACTTCCCCTAGTGGGCACAGAAGAGCTTGGGGGGGGGACATAGATCAAGATACATGAAGCAAAGATACTACATAATGCAGAAGGCACGGGTGCATCCTGGAGTTAGATATTGTAATGCTGCTGACTTGGCCACATTGTTCAGCTGTTTATGGTCATTTGTTCACAATGGACATTGAAGATAACCTCAGCAAGTTTAAATCACACAGAATCTAAAACTGTGTGCATCATGTCTCTGTATTCAGATTTCACTGAGTTCTGACTCTGAGACCAGCACAAACTGGATGCTAAGGGATTTGAAATTCTTAAATTGCCTCCATGAGTGTGCATCACATCCACTGTTGTGACTAACACTTCCCCAGGTTATGATTATTGCCATTTTGCCAAAATGAATCTTTGCAGTACTGACAGATACATTCATAACACACAGCTACCTGTAGAGTGAATACCTCCGGCTGACGTCCCATTAGGATCTTTGTTCGATCTGGGCAGTTCACAGCTGATGATATCAATTGCATCCTGCTCAGCACTGAAAAACACTCACATTAGAAACTAAATCAAAACCTAACACCATCATCTGTGAAAATTTTGTTAGCAAACTCACTCAGCCTGAGCTGTGTCACTGTTATGAGGCTTGGCCTTCATGGCCTCAGCACACTGTGTGATTAAACACTGCCACCTGCATAAACAGAGGTGATACAGCAGGATGAGAGAAGAAAGCAGACGGCATGCAGCTGACATGCTGTTTGTGGTGCAGGACTCACATTCTCTGATCGGACACCGTCTGAGCCATCAGCTCGTAGATCTGAGCCCCGTTTTCTGACATGGACAGTACGAAGAAAGACCTGTTGTCTGATGAGGACAAAAATGCAAACAATTAATGTACATTATATACATAGGAATGAATGCACACACTAAATAGTGACAACAGACATGAAACATTAAAAAAGAACAAGGGTCTACAGTCATGCTAGCAGCAATGTGAGGCTATAACTTTAGTATAAGCACAACGGCAATGTTAACATTCTAATGTTTAGTTCACAGTCTTAGTTTAGCATGTTAAAATTTCCTAATGAGCAGTAAACATAAAATACAATTGAGGTTGCTGGGAATGTCATTAGTTTTGCAGGTGCTTGATCACAAACCAAAGTACTGAACAAATTAAATCTCTGACTTAATCATGGTGCCAGGGGAAGTTTAGGAGGCATTGAATCCTGAGGAGAGCATGAATGTTTGTACCATAACCCATGACTGTCAATTCATTAAGACCATTTAATCAAAACCACAAATGTCAGCCTCATGCTGGTGCCAGATGAAAAGTCAGAGGATCATTAAAGTGATGAGGATTCAGCCTCTGGAAACCATTACTGTGTGTGCAAAGTTCTTTGCGAACCCATGTGGTAGGTGTTGAAATATCTCCCTAGATTTTTGAAAACTTGCCTCCACATGCTGGTGAAACTAAATGAAAAACGTCTTTAGAGTTCATCTTATGGGGACCATGAATGTCTGTACAAAATTGCACCATTCCATTCAGTAGTTGCTGAGATATTTCAGTCTGGAACAAAGCGGTAGACTAACTGAAGCTGGCTTTCTAGAGCCATGTTAGAGTTGCCAACAGAAACCCTTGTGACAACAGGTACAGTCACTCTTACCAGTTGCCACTGGACGAACCAAAACCGTGTTGAGTTTGATGACAGGACTGAAGATGTGCTTGGTGTCAGTGGTGCTGACCAGATTCTTGCCATGGAATTTGAGAACCAGGCGCTCATCCTGTTTCTGCAGCAAAACCAGAATGTCCTCCAGGAGGATTGTATACATTTCTGTAAAGGAGACACTGTTGATATAAAACTGTGTGTCTGTATATAGAGGGGACTGCTACACATAGCCTGAGCTGTTGTAAAAGGTTTATGCTATTAAATATCAGCCTGTCCCAGCTCACTCTGTTATGTCACAAAACGCAAAAGATCAGACCCTTGCTAACAGTGGGTCATATACCAAAGCACCAATTGTGTGTATGTACCAATGGTCTTGTCTTTATTGATTTTCCAAGAGAGAGGACCCTCATGTATCATCTTCCTCTTGGTCAGGTCCAGATTCTGCATGAAGAAAATCAAATGACAGCAGAATTTCATTAATATCCGCAGTATGCCACCACCTCTCATGACTAGATCCATGTTGTACAGTCAAAGGTACCATGATGTATCAGATATACCTTTAGAGTCTTCTATTTTTAAATGTGATGCAGCAGGGTAAGAGCTCATTGCTCTATGTTCAGAGCATCAGTAAAGAAAACATTAGTTTTTTTACCTTCAGCTCCAGGATCATGGGGTTTTCACTCTGCTTGAGTGATGAGAGGTCTAACCTTCTCTGATACTCCTCGAGCCTCTGTTGAGAAAGAACTTGTTCATCTCTTTTTTTTTAAGCAAAACCTCTAAACCTCCATTGTAGACTTAAATAACCCTAATATAATTCCACCTGCTTATTCTCAGCCTCTTTGACAGCCTGGTTGACATGGTTGAGGATCTTTTTGCAACATTCTCCAGCTTTCTTCACCTTTTCCCTCTCCTCACCATCCTCTGTGGGACGATAAGCGGGTCATTCTCCCTGCATTACCCACTCTGTTACAAATACAATGAGCAAAATGCTTTTATACCTGTGTACTTAGCAATATTGTCCAGTAGGAGAGGGTATTTGGTCACTCTCTGCATTTCTACAGGAATGATGTCTTTAAGCTGCAGCCTGCGACACAGACGGTTGCTTTGAGCTTCCTGAAGGAAGACAATAAGGTGGAATAAGGAGTGTCTAAATCAATAACATTTATAACATAAGACGTATAGTAATTTAAGCATACAATATCTAACATATTCAGTAATAAGCACCAAAAATAAACTGATTTAGAGCAATCAACTTTTAAGAAAAATATAGCATGCTTTTAGGTAAAATTTGGTTAAAAAAAAAAAAAAAAGTTTTTATTTAGCATTATTCTCAGCTAGTTTTGTTGGTGCTGTACTATGTTCTGCTGACCTGCAAAAATAAGTTGAACCTCTGGTCTTTCCTCTGCCTGGTCTTGATGAGCTCCAGAGCTGGTGGCTGGTTACTACAGAACGTGCCCACCCTTATTTTTATCTTCTCTTCTTCCTCCCCGCTGAACTGGAATCAACACATACGCACAACATTTTACATTTGTGGCATTTCCTGTGTTTCCAGTTCCTTTATACTTTTAATGTGAAAAATAAAGTACTGTATAAGCTGTTTTACTGACTTCAGTTTAACAGAGATTGAAAAAGTGTTAATTAAAATGCGAGACATGAGGTAAATGTGGACTCTTATGCATCCGGTATGTTTTTGAATAGTTTCTAGGTTAGGAATGGAATGGAACAAATAAAGTTCTGCACTTTACTGATAATTAAACTTTACTGATAATCAATCGGTAAGAAACTAGTAATACAACCCTCCCATGCCCTAAATGCTGCTAAACCCAGTGTCTAATAAATATTTTAGTGATTTGTTTGACTTTTAGCTCTCTTCAGTGTTTCAGGTGCACCACCATTAAATTCTACCCTCCTGCGTGAATTGAAACTGGTCTTACCCATCCCAGGAGATCGTCGCCAATCTGACCAATCACCGATGTCTCATTCCTCTTCCTGATTGCCGTCATTTGTTCCATTATAGTAGCTGTGGAGCAAAGTGATCAGAAATTCTGAAATACTTTTACACTCTGAAATGACATAACTATAATTATACAGGTGATTTGACCTGTATCAGGGATACATTTTGTAATGTAAAACCTTAGATGAGTCAGTGACCATCAGAAATACATTTGTGGTGTTATAAAGAGATGACAAAAGCAGGAAAGAGTAAAATGAAGCAACAAATCAAACAAATTTTCTGAAAATACAACTGTTGAAATCTATAATTTGTGTTCAGCCCTATGTGGTAGTAGGGTGTGTAAATTATGTTACCATGCAGCTGAATGATTTCCTCCAGGTTAATAAAGATATGCTTGATGTCTTCTGGTGGCAGGATGCCGTCTCTGTTCAGCCTTTGGTAAAACACACAGTCCAACACCTTCAGCATCCGCAAGTGGGCACGCTCTGTGTAGAAAAGCTCTGAGGACGGAAAGACGCATATACAGTAAAACGTGTATGCAAATGTGATGATTTTCATACCACATTTGGAAAGCGCTGGAGACTCACCGTTGATGACTTCCTGCCGTTTGATCTCCTGTGGCGTTAGGCTTGCCAAGACACCTCGACTGACCAAACTCTGCCAGTTCAGAGGGTCTTCTTCACACTCTGCCTCACCTCCTTGGTCGTCTTCACTGTGGATGTCTGCTGAACTCAGTCCACACTGCACCTCCATCCTACTGTTGACCAAAGAGAAACAGAAAGAGGCTTTAAAAAAAGTTTACTGTGATAGCAGAAAGGAGTATATGGAGATTTTCTATGCAGTTACAACAATTGCTATCCTGCCAGAAAAAGACAAAAATGTGATACAACAATAAGAATTATTTACTTTGACAAAATGCTTGCCACATTCTCTGCTGTGATGTGTCCTGTGGCAGTCACTGATATAGAGCTGAAAGGATTAATTAATCTGCAACTATTCTGAAAACTGATAAATCATTTGAGTCTTTTTTCAAGTAAAAGGAAAAAGATCTCAAATGTGAGGATTTGTTGTTTCTGTTTATCTCATTCGATAGTGAATTTAGTTTTTTGTTTTTTGGATTTTATTAAAATAAAAGTATTTTTCTGCATTTTCTAACACTTATACAATTGAATGATTTTAAATGGGTGAAAAATATGTAGTGCCTATTTTTGCTTTGCTTACTGTTGTATAAAATATTCTAAAATGCAGTATTACTGAAAGTTGTTGGGTATCATCAGAGCAATTTAAATTAATTAATATAAAATAACTTTCTTTCATCATCCGACTTCAGTTAAATAGAAAATACAAACTCTAGAAACACCTGAAAGTCTCATGATCTTCCTCTTGTAACTGGTCCAGGTTGGAGGGACTGAAGTCAAACTGAGTACTGGCTGGGTTAGAGAAGCCGTCCTGGTGGTCGCCAGGCAGCAGGCCCTCGCTCAGTCTGGACTGGAAGGACATCGGAGACACATCTGCAGAATAAAGAGGAGAACAGTACATTAAGGAAGAAATAAAAAAAAGGAATACAGATCATATTGTGCTATTCTAAATTTCATGCAAATATCCATTTATTTCCTTTTTTCATTATTAAAAGAGCATGAAAAATTCTGATATTAAGTGTTGTTTTACATATGAATGGATGAAGAAATATAAAATAAAAATCAACTCAATGTTTCCATTCTGACAAGGGTACATTTATGGTAACCTTACTTTATTTTAATCGAGAACAGTGTAATAGTGACCCCAATACATATATGATACTAAAGGTGCATTACTACCAGAAAGTTCGTGGCACTTTTTATTCCGAGGAACTAAAGCCCAAGAACTGTCCCTGGGGTAAAAGACTCTCCAGCACATGTGCATTTCCACAGCAGGGCTGAAGCCCAGGGAAGATTAAACAAATTACCCCGCTGACATAAAAGCATAACAGTCAGCAGTGGGGTTGTAAGGATGCCGCATGTAAAGTGCTGGCTATGGTTAAATGTACCAGCAGTGGAGGACAGACTGTAGCTAAAATCATCGCCTTTCTGCAAGTATATGCTTGTTTAGCAGGTGTATTTTTTTTCTTGAAAAGGTTTTACTGCATGTGCAATAAAGGGCATAAGAATTGTTAACTCCGAGCAATGTTTCACTTCAGCTGATGTCATGCACTTCTCCATTGCCTCAACCTGTTGTGCTCCATGTGTGTGGAGGAGCTGAGCTCTGCCCTCAGGTCAAACACCTGAAGAAGCCGCTCCACAAATACCAGCACCATATTTCCCACCCACCGCAGGCCTCGCCCCGATAGTTCTTAGACCTTCAGAAAGTACTACTCCCCAATTAGGTACTTTTTTCAGGTTAGAACTGCCCTTGTCTAAACAGAGACCAACACAAGCTTGGACATTAAGCAGACTTTACTCTGCCAGCTCTTATACTCTGCCAACTCTGCCTAGTACAAAGTCTGCATAAGGTCTGAGTGGGCTGGAGTGACAGTACAGCACTGTATAGTCTGGAGTATTCACATGGAGCTAGTGGGCACGTTGATGGCAATCTATCATATGACCAGCATGAAACAGGAAGAATACAAACATCAGATGGTGAAGAAAAATTGTCATTTACAATAAACACCAACAAAAATATCTAACTAGAGACACCACAAGATTCAGGAACCTCTGTCATTAAGATTCGGTGCCAGAATCTTAATTTGATTACAAAACCGTGTCATGTCCCGCCTCCTGCACGCTTTACTCAGGTATAACCACCATGCTTGTTAAACCAAGTGAAGCATTTCCCGTAGGTGATCTGACACGGACTACCTCAGGTATGTGCTATACGTGTGAAAGGACAACTCTCGACAAAGTCCGGGCTTGATTCCGTGGACATAGTCTGGAGTTCATGTGTGAAAACGGCTAAAGAGAAACTTTAGAAGAATTTCTTACTGGAGTCTGAATCCTGTCCACTTGTATCTGAAGCCTGACCAAAGGGAGAGCTGTGTGAAGGAGATGAGGTGGAAGGCGAAACATGGGAACCAGTGTCTGATCCCTCACTGAGCTGATTTCCACGGCTTCGTCCAGAATTTGAGGCAGAAGAGTCGAGCTGCTCAAGGATGCCAAAGGCAGGCTGAGAGGGCTGCTTTGCTGGCCGCTGCTTGTTAATCTCCACAGCCTTACCAACTGTACACACGTCCATTTGCACAAACATACAACAGTAGAGAAAACAAACAAATACAGAAATCACAAACAGTGATAATACAGTATGCAGTATGCTTATTTTTGTACATTCTCAAATACACACAGAAGGTATGAAATGCCAGTGCCATCCGGTGTCCACCTCTTTGTTTTTATATCACTTGTGTGCTTAGTGGGACAGAATTTAGCATGTTTTTGCCAGTTTATTATAGTTGCAATAAACCTTACTGTACCTCACATAGGTGATGAGACGTACAGTATTTGCATTAAAACAATAACACTCAAAACGTTAAACTGTAGTTTTATCCTCACCTGAAGTTGAATCCACTCTGCTCAGGCGCCTAGGAGGTCCGAGGATGTTGGGAAACCGAGGCTTTTTCACCTTCTCCTCACCCTCCTTCTCCAGCCTGATAGTCTTCTGCTTGTTAAAATAACACATTCATTGTTTCACTATAAAATATTTACATGAAGGACATTGTGGTGCAAGCCTGGCATTGGTTATTTGACTTCCAGTGGATAATGTGCTCTTATTTAAATGAATGATTCCAAGCAAATTGTAACTGAAAATCTATTAGTTAAGTTTTATGTGTGAAGAATTTTATCTGATGTAACACATAAACAGTGGAGCACTGTTTAGTGCATTAAATGGTTTTAATTACAGTAATTTATAGCTTAGATTTTCCATATTGTGTCAATATTGGAAAATATTGATGAACCACATCACAAAGCCCTAATTCATATTCATACACCTATAACTTTTGTGTATTTTTGCTTATATTGTGTCATAGTCTAATGTAAAATTTATGACACATTTACACAGTAGTGCTGATAATAGATGCAGATCGGAACAATTGGTCAGTTAACTGGCTAGCGTCTTTGTATATAAAAATTATTAAACATTTGTGTCAGTATGTTTCTAAAGAAGAGATCACACCTTAATTTTCGGCAGGAAATTGATTCGCACTCGCTTATGCTCGAGGCCACGAGGCTCCTTCACTCTCACCCCGAGGTGTTTCATATAGGTGAGAATCACATACTGCATCATGTGGCTGCAACAGCACAGGACACAGCCAAGAGAACAATCAGACTGTTATTTATTGTACGGCAGTACTTACAGATTTGTAGGGCTCAAGTTTACGAATCTCTATAATTATTATTCACAAACATAACATTTTTAAATTGCTCACATAGTGTTTTACACACATGAGACTCAAACCACTGTCATACTGCTGTGTTTTGAGGTATTACATGCAATGCAGTATACATGAAATTGTAATTTAGGTACTGACAAGATGCTCTTATTCAAAAGTTTGTGAGACAGTAAAGTATCTGAAATACCTCTCCAAAAATATACATCACACTGACTGCCCTGCACCTCAATGATGAAGTGAAATTTAAAAAAAAAATACTTCCTCTTACCACTTGTCCTCTTCTGAGGGCTGTGATGTCAACCTGCAACAAGAAACTCAGGGTTAGTACAAACACAATCATCCAGGGAATATAAGAATTTAACACACACATCGCATACATAGGCTTGTGTTAATGTGTGTGTTTGGAAACTCACAGGATATCCTCTATCTTGGAGAGGATGTTTTCAGCACAGGAGCATTCCTTGTCCAAGGCCTGCTGGTCTTTTCTTTGCTCTATGTTCAGTTTCAACAGCTCATCTTCAGCCAGAGTGAGACCCATGCTGCGTTTCTGTCTGCACACACAAACATAACACAAGTAAAAAAAAAGACATGTACAGCCATTACTACTGACAGACTTCTGCCAGGAAAATTAGTAAGTAAAATCATTATTTCCAGAAAAGGTTACGCAGACTCTTACCGGAAGTCTTCCAAGTTCTTGTGCAAGTCTGGTAGAAGTGTATCCTGTAGCATCTGAGTATACTGCTTGCAGAGTTCCTCTGGGATTAACTCCAGCCTCCGCTTCTCTGTGTAAAAACCCCCAGACAACAGTCATGAGAACATCTTATTGCAATTCAATGTCATGACATTTGCTGAGCTCATTCATCAAAAACCAGGAAAACCATTTTGATTTAAATAAGCTCATGGCCTTAGGATAAACTTAGCATTTTCCAGACTACTGGCAGAGCATTCATTTTCAGGCTGCATGTTTAACATTATGGGGTACAATGCACACTGGAGCCTCCACTACACACCCAAAAGGATATCTTAATCAGATACACGCAAAACCGTCTACCTGTTTCAAACAGTAACACAGAAGTATACAGTACTTTTCTGAAAGCAACTGCACATCATGAAAACAGTACTGGAATGAATCAGTGATACTCTGGAAAAGACTGTATCAATAAAACATAAAGCAGTTACTTATAGATTAGCCGCTTTGTGGAATCAACAGATTGTAGATTGCGATTCTCAGCGTAACAAAGCTGTATACATCCATGAAAGGTCTGACTATCTGTAAATCAATGCCAGAGTTTAGAATGGAGGATGTCTGGATTTTAGCATCTAAGAGTTATAAAATAATTAAACATAACATTTTTTTATAGGATATCAATTGGTTCACTGAGGAAATTAGAGATACCCATTTCAGCCGCAATTGTCTCAGGCACTGGAACTTTAAGATTCTGCAAAAACCAAGAAGAGTTACAGAGAATTAGAGTTTCAGAGAACAAATACACAACCAATTCAAGAAATCTAAACCTTGGTCTAAGATTAAGAAATGAATGGAGGGGTAAAAGCAAAAGAAAACAAAAACTCACTGCTGTTCGATCCATGAAGAGGGAGTGGAATTCCATGAAGATGCGTCTGCTTTCTTTGGAGCTGGTTTGCTTGTACATATCAGCGTAGAGATAACACAGCTAACAGAAGAAAACAGAAAGCGCTTTAGATTATGGTCATTGTGCTACTTGTCATATCATTTAATGTACAGTTCCAAAACATGAAAAATAGAAACTGTCTCAGCAGAATACTGTTATTTTTCCAGATCACCGAAGGCCTTCCACGTGGCTGAATCTTTGTCCATTATATCAAAATAATATTTATCTTAATCTTCTTAATCCCCCACACACCTTCCTGTTGCTGTAAATACTCACTAGAACACCAAATGCGTATTAATACGAAAGTGAAAATAATCCCAAACAAAAGTACTTTTAACAGTTGTTTGAGCAATGTCTACTAAAACAACAGAGCCCAGCTGTTACAGGATGTCACCATGCCTTTTGTAAAAATAAAACTACACATTTGTGTTTAAAGATTTACATCACTAGGAATCTACTGGCTTAGGGTCGAATGCCACAAACTGGACTAGTATATTAGGAGATGAAGTAAAAAGAAAAAAATTGGTATATCACCAGTATAATCTTTTAAGAACATATTTTGCTACACTGGAACAATAAAGTTTAAATACAATTGTAATATAAATTGTTAGATAAAATTCCTTATCTACCTAATAAAGTGTTTTTCATAGTGGTATGATCCCACAGAATGCTGACCAAATTAATAGCATTGCTATTATTATATGTTATCTACTGTTTATTGTGTGTGTTTACACGTGTACCAGAGGTGCAGGGTCAAACTGCGAGACGACATGATGGAGGAAGACTGCAAGGTGAGCTGGCCGAGACTTCAGCATGTCTATACTCTGGAAACAGCTGCACTGTCCATTAATCTGCCAAAAGGAGAGAGCTTGTTTGTTAGATGTTGTGGAGAACCAGTCGTCCTAATCGATCAGTAGGGTTAAGAACTTAATGATTAGTCAGAATGTACAGTGATTTTTGATCAACATGTTAAAAAGGAAAGCAAATCTGGAAAATTTTATATCCAAATTAACTTTCAATTTCATAAAAATTATTTGCTCGTACTTCAAATTTCAAGGCCCAATCAGCCCAAAATGTAGCCTATGGCCTAAAACAAACCTTTTTGTGAAACTCCACATCAGCAGATTGTTTGATGAAAGCCCTCAAATGCATAAGCATCATTCATTTTTTCATATTTAATACATGAAGATAAAGTGGTAACCAATTAAGGTTTTCTACAATTAGTCTACCTGTAGATTCTCAAAATACCTGTTCTTGCTGACAGTCAAAGTAGTCGTCTTCTGCTCCAATGATCTGGGGGTTCAGGAGGTAGGGAGGATTACCCACAGTGCACTGGGCACTGGTGTCCTAAGTGATGTATTCAGGGTTAAATTCATTGAAAGATAAATTTACAGCCTCATATAAGAATAAGCATCACATTAATAGGCAGAGTATATCTAGCCTTGTATCTAGGCAAAACTAAAATATTCTTATTCTGTGAAAGGTGCTATATAAATAAACCTTTACTTACTTTTTACTTACTTACTTATATTATGAATTTGTAATAATTCATCAATGACCACCCTATATAGGCCCCCCTCGTTTCTTTTTTTTTACAAAAACAAAGTGTTTAGGAGAGCATATCTTACAGTGTCAACTGTGTCCTGAGTGTCAGGCGATGAGCAGGAACTGAATCTGTCTTGCAGGCTGATGTTCGGGCTCTGACAGGGTGTTTCTCTTTTGCCAGGACTCTCTGAGAGGAGGCTGCCATTCATCTAACAAACACCCAGACAGAACATTTCCAGAGAGGCTTTCTGTTGTATTTAATATCAGACTGTGGGTACCTCTACAGTAGAATATATTTTTAACAACATTCCCATATCAGCATAATTTCCAGTGGGAATGATGGGGATATGTCCCCCTCACTTTTAGGTTATAGTGTGAGGTTGATTTTCACAAAACCCTCACTCACATAAAACTAAAATAAAAACACACTAGACAAAGTAAATACAGTGTGTCTGGGTAATGTGGTTCACACATTAACTGCTGTGATCTGTGAATACCCACAGTGTTATTGTTAGCCGAGGGCCAGTCGCTAGCGTTGTCACCCCGCAAGAATGAGCTGTGTTCCCTCATGGGAGATCCACTGTCCACATCCTCAGCCTCACCATTTCTGGATACAGTGGCTCCATCCTGAAACACACATGTCCACTGGGTCATTTTAAAGTAAGGAAATTTCTCTCCTACACCTTGAAATTAGCTCCTTTACAGTAGTTTCTTTCTAAAGCAAGCAGCATTTTTAATGATTTATTTTTCTTGTGACTGTAGAATAGTGATTAACTGAAATTCAGAGATTCATAGATGTTAATATTTCTGTATTATAAAAGAGCAGAAGATGTGCTTGGCAGTTTTGCAGGACTGCCTTAAAATGTTAGTTCTACTCTGTTCCATCCTTTATTAAAGGGGTAGCTCTGATAGGTGTCATACATGTCACATGCATTAAAAAATACTTCTTCTTCCATACAGGCAGAGGGGGGGTCATGTGTTCCTGGGGGCTGCTGATCGAGGGGGTGCATCGCTCGCCACCTGGCAGTGCAGGTGAGTGCGGCGCTGAGAGAGATGAGGACAAGTTGACCTTTTCTCCTTCCTCTTTCTCTTCCTTTTCCTCCTCCAGGGGAATCTGAGGAAGCCCCGGAGGCCTCCCCAGCACTGTCAGAGCTACATAGGAACCCGCTGCCAGACAGGAGTCATGAGAAAGGAACCATGTTAAAAACCATCTAAGTCATTGTGAAGATATGATCACCAGCACCAGCTCAGTGAAAGAGCTCCAGCAGAAAAGTGAATGGAGAAAAAAAAGACAACGTAATTAAAGAAATTAAATAGACATATTTATTTTTGCAGAAGAAACGTCTTAATAGCTAAGACATAAACAGCTGCTTTTGGAGGCTGGCTTGTTTGACTGACGTGTCTCAGCCTGTCACAGTCAGCTATGGTGACTGACACTTCCTCCTCTTTGCTTAAATGTGGTACTGTAGTAAAAAACAGGATCCAGGGTTCAAAACACCTCACCAGATATGTAGATGTTTTAGCCTTTCATTGAAATTCAAATGTGAAACAGCAAACTGAAGATTAAATTAGAAACGCATACTTACATTTTATCAGCTTTACAACTTCTATGTGGTTTGAATGTGTGACTAAGGTCCCGTTAACCTGTCAGGAAAAAAAAAAAGCATTAGGAGAGAATTGTTAACATTGATCACCATAAAGTTGTTTAAAGAATAAGGTTGGTGATATTCTATATTTTTGTTATTGTCAACAATTGTATAAAAACACTAACAATGGATTTTGTCAATCTCTCAACACTTTCTGATTTTCTTGCACTGTTTATGACTCAGCCCCAAATAGTATGTTCAGATTCTGTTTCTGGAAGTAAAAATGAAATAAATAAGCCTCACCTTAATGATCCTATCTCCTGTCTGGACACCAGCTCGCATTGCAGCTCCATCTATAAAACAAAAGACAGCACAAAGTCAAAGATGTTGCTTCTGTAAATGTATTTTGATCATGTACGTGTGAAAGTATTCACCTTCTTTGACCAGCTGCACAAACACAGGGTTATCTCCGCTGACTGTCAGCCCAAAGCCATTTTCATCTCTCTGGATTATCACACAACGCTGGACAAGACCTGTAATTTGCAAACGCACACACATTTGTTTTCATTCCTAGTGGGGACTTTACATTGATTTGTATTCACTTCCAGAGGACTTACTCTTACCTTAATCATAGCCACTATTTGCCTAACCCATGCATATTCTTTTACATTATACAAACACTATGCTGGCAGTTCAAATTAGTGAACAATACACATGTTTTGCATAATATTTTTATAGTATAACCTGACAGAAGTTCTGGCACAGAATATACAGTATGTAACACTGGTTGTCTGGTGGCAAAGGCAAAAATGGGAAAAATTCTCAACACGGGAAGTGACAAATCAAGGGACTGAAACAGAATTTTTTTATTGCAGTCTCCTCTCTTATTAACAAAAACTTGGCTCTTCAGTGACAATGTTTTTGATCCTGTAGCTGACAAGACCTTTATCTTTTAAAAATTAGATCAATGCGGCAATAATAATAATAATGTGTATGCATAACAACAATATTTTATTCAAAATATAATTTTACTTGTATTGTGCCATTCATATATGTCATCTTTAAATAAAACTGCATAACACCACACACATAGACAAGAAAATAAATGAAAATGTTGCAAATGATGAGTAGTAGTAGTAGCATATGAAATAATCTATAGCAAGAAACAAATATTATGGATTTGACAGTTTCTAAGAGTATTCTGTGCACATGAAATAGTACTTAATAATACAGAATGTATCATCTCTTTACTGTATATCCATTAATCCACCCTCTGTGGGTTAAGTGACATCCAGCCCAGATATCCAATTAAAATCAAATGTTGTGCAAGGACCACACAAGAAAAACTCCCATGACTCAGTTCTAGGAGTACAGCTTATAGTGCTTATCTGACTCTGCCCAGTCCTCATGACCTCGTGAAATCTGTGGCTCCATTTATAAACTCAGCTCATATTCAAACATTTGACTGCACCAAGCACCCTGATATCTGCAAAGATCATCTGCTAGATCAAGAAATTCCATTAGGCATGTTCTTCATGTAGCCACTGAGGAAGTTTGGTGACTCACAAACCTTTCCCTTCTCCCACTTTAAAGTATTATCTGAGAGAACTGAGTGGGTAATTGGTTGTCTTCTGGCCTCTGTGAGGGAGCCTCAAGACTCCAGGGTGAAGAAAAGAGCAGGAAGGATTAATGCCAACCTTGCAACCCAGGCAACCACCTTAACAACTTGTTTCTGAGCACTGCTCACACCCACACCATCTCTGTTTGGCCCCCCCATCACCAGCCCCTGTGATAAATTACTATTTTAAAAGCATAAATCAAATGTTTGGTAGATAATATCTTAGAGAGAGAAATTTATTCAAGAGAACATACAGTAAAAACAAGACTAGGGATAAAAATTCTAATATTTAACTTATATTACAGTTTGTCACTTTACATTAGTTTTAAATACAATGCGCTGCTGTTCATAATAGAAAGGTATACTTTAAGCTAATGAAAAGCAAATAAAACAGTTATCATCTGTGAACGTACGCTTGACTTCCCCCACTTGGTATTTACAAATAAACCTTCACACTGGATTTTTAAAGTTCTCGACAGAATAAATACTTCAGGAAATTGAAAATTAAACAAATAAACATCTAAATGATTACAAAATTCATCACTAAAATCAGACAGCAGATATAAGATTGGTGTTTCTTACCTGTAGGGTCAAACTCGTGTTTGAGGGGGACAGATAACTTGTCATTCTTTGGTTTTTTGTCTGTGGGGTCCTTGTTCAGAATGCTTGGGGTCCTAGAGAGACATGCAACAAAGTAAGAACAGACATACCAAACAAAACCTGAAAAACCTCTATATAAATACAAATACATTCTTCCTGGCTTGAGTTTTGAAGCAATTCCTAAGTCAACTGTGATGTGCATTTTAAAATAATTTGAGAAACTGGAGCCACTATTGGGGGCTTTAAACATACACTATAGTATATACTGCAAATGACAAAAAGGCCACAAACAGAGCTGACCGTGCTGCTTAATAACAGGAAGGTAAAAGAGAAATACAGTGTGTTACATAGTACGGACTACTGCCAATTTAATCCAATTCACTTACTTTACTCTTCTACATTTTTAAAGGGTTGGTTGATTAGAGCTCTTCTCAGATTTAAGTTGGTCAATTCAAAGCTACGCTGTACCGTACACTAGTAAGAATGAAGGCGTAAGTTGCCAGTCAGTGCAACAAAACTAATACTTGGATCAGAATCCACAACATCACTGGTCACAGGGCTGAGAGAAGTGGGGTGCAACGTACAGTTCACAATCTATTTGAATACTGTTAGCACCACACATGAGTTTCACCACTCCTCTTTTAGAACAGCCATTTTCGCCACTCATGCAGTTTACAATCACCATCACTCAATAACCCTGTAGAGCTGATTTACTGTGCTTCTGAAGAGCAACAATCTGATTCCTTAAAATCCAATTTACACTGTACAAGCCATTAAAAGCCATGCCTTCTATAGAAAACCAGTATTTTTTTCTGCAATCATGTAAGTTGGACAACAAAGTTAATGTCTAATTCTGAATTAATTGCCAATAAAATGGCTTCCATGTAAACCACCCTTAACTTGTTTAATATATATTTCCCTCATGGGGGCTTAACTTGATTGTATATTAATAGCAGAGGTTCCTTCTGCACATCCCCCTTCAGCACCTCCTACTCATTCCACAAGAGGAGGTTTTGTTTGTGCTGCTGTTCCTCCCTTGGACAATGGGGGCCCTGGGCTTCAAACAATGGCTCCCACGTCAGAGCCAACTTACTATACTGTGGCTTTGTGGGACAGATTCCCGGAAACAGAGACTAGGGGTGTTTGGCTTGGCTCCAGTTTCCTGAATGTGGGAGAAGGCTGGGAAAGAAACGGAATAGGGGCACAAGTGTCTTTGAGAGAAGACAGAAGACTGGGTTAAATAAATTTCACCACAGCTCCCAGAGTGTGTGAACTATCTTGTCTAAACTATTCTCATGGTACAGAGAAAAAATATAATGAGTCAAATCCTGAGATATCAGTTTCAGGCAAATAGACAGAAAATCAAGAACATTTTTCTGGTGTCAAGCTCCTAGAAGAACCACACTGAGCGGCTGAAACTAGTTAAACTCCCCTAGACGCAACAAAAATGTCACAGTTCCAGACAGAAAAGGTGAAATTATGTTGAACCGGAGAATATTAGGGTGATAACCTTGTCGCTTTCTCTGAGAATGGAAGGCCCATTTAGGGAGCCTCTTTGCTGTGGTTGGAGGAGATTAGCAGCTGATAAGACATGGCGAGACAAGAACAAACGGCATCCTGCTCAGGGGGTGGCAGCTAATAAGTACTGCTGAATATGTAGAAAGAATTTGACTTTGAAGTGTGTACACTGATCAGAACAATCAACTCAAAGCCTCCTACAAAGCAAAAATCTGATACTATATATATATCTTTCTATTTAAATGACACAAGCTTTGTTGAGACATAACAATAATAGAGTCGAAGGAGCTATTTTGGGTGCCACAGTTCTGCACAGACATTAGGTGACACATTTAAGTTTTTCTTTCCAAAAGCTTTCCAAAATTTTATTTTATGAATTTTAATGGCTGTTCTATTAACTAATCATTTGAATCTGGCTTCACTTGGCTCCCACCACAGGATCACCACAAATATCCAAATTTAATATTAGCTTGTGAACTCTCAGGAATAATGCAATCAAGCAGTTCAGTGTGGGCAGTAATAGAACAAAATCGCTTCAATGAAAGCCAGTTCAAGATATTAGTTATTTTTGTACAACCAAAGCAAATCAGGATACTTAAACAGATTTTTTTTTTTTTATTAGAGCACTTCTCAGGTCACATGCAGTAATGAAAAACAAAATTTGATTCATCCAATAGATGACAGAAATACATAAACACTATTCTTCATGAATGCCTTTTTATCTGCCTATGTCAATCGCCAGTGGTAAGATGCCAGTTCTTAATTGAGGACAGGCTAGAAGACCCTTTCTAGCTTTAATCGTTATCCTTGAAGTAAACACAGAAACTACAAACTGTAGATGCTGTGATACATTTAAGGAAACTCCTGCAATGATACAGAGACACAACATCTCAATAGCACAACAGGTTTTTTGATCTATGGGTAAAATGCTGTTCATCTCAAAATGTTATGACATATGCAGCAGTGTCACAGTGTGCTGTATGGTTGGAAGCTATCCTGCATCGATACCAGTGGCACTGTCAGTCAGTCAGGAAACACTGGTGGCCTGCTGAGCCTGACAGACATTGTTTAACAGTGATGTCACCACTTCCCGTCAGAGCCCAGAGTAGGATAGAGCGGGGAGGTGGGAGGTCAGTAGGCGGGAAAACACACAGCTCAGCAAAACTTTGTGACAAAGACCAAAAGAGCTGGTCCACTTTACACATTCATCATTTTTAACTAGACAGACAAAACCAAATTCATGAATCTGGCATGTTTGTTCATATTTACAGTCAATTAAAGAGGATAACTGAGAGACAATCTTTTCCCAGAAAGGGGGACCACAGTCGTTACTTACATCACTTAATGGTTTAAATATGTACAATTCCAAAGTATGCTTCAGACATTACAACTGCATCTGCTGCCTCTCTGATCTTTGCACAGATACTGCTCTGTTTCTCTTTCTGTAGCATTGCTCCAGAAATGGTCAATGCACACTGTGACTCCAGAATGCTGTACTTGTTTAATAAATGCATTATGTGTTTGGGGCAGAATGTGTCACCTTAGTAAATATTAGGGGACACGGGAGGACATAGGAAACTACCTTTAGTAAATCTGTAACTGTGTCTTTGTGTGCTTTTGTCATCTTGACACAATGAACTGTGCAGAAGGCAGTCATGCGGTTGCTCTTAGTCATACACATAAAAAGTGACCAAAAAAGTTGTGTAGTCGTTTCCACTTCGCATCTGTCAGATTATTGAATAATCTGTTTGTCTAGCTGTTCCTCTCTGGACCTATTTTTAGCAATGTTTCTGTGTCCACAGATCTTAGCAATTATTTTGGAGAGTACATTACAAGGTTACAGGTACTGATCAATGAAATGGCCAAGACAAAAAAAAGAAAGAAAGAAAAACTCAAATTATGGTTTTCCTCTGCGGTGTTCTACAGGAGAGAGGATGGTTTTAGTCTGTCCCTTGAGGCTAGGCAGACAGGAGTTGTCACATTCAGACAGTAAAATATCACAAATGTTAGGAGAAACCTTGCAGGCTGCTCAAGCTAGTTACTTGTTCCTGAGAAACCCTTGATCAATGTCCAGGAAGTGACCTAACCACTGCTGGAGTGGGCACAAATGTTGCCAGGCAACTGAATCCTTTTTGCGGTGATGCTTCAGTAATGATGTTCAAAATCCACAGGCAGATGTGTTGTTTAGATAATGAAATAAATTCATCTCATCTCAAACAAGTCGCAGCCTCAGAATGGACACATGCAAAACACAAACATGGTCCAGTGAGTATTTTTGTCTGAGCTGTAATTACTGAAGAGATGCACCTCATACACTTCCATTCAAAACCAGTATACAAAGGTAACTCACTAAATAGCACCTTTAAAATGATCACTGTGATTTTAGGGGATGTTACTTTCTGGAACTATTTCTTGTCAAACAAAAGCGGGATGCTACTGTACTACTATAAACACCAAAGCCAAAGCTCTAAAATCACAAACTGTTGTTTTTGCATTTGTCTGTGTAGGATAAACAAACAAAATGTTACATGGGGAGCTTTAGAGCAACTGATATTTTTCAACCTTTAACAGAGCTGTTTTCCTCGATTTTCACTGTTCACACTAAGCTAGGCACACAACGTCCTGATTCCAGCTACACACTTAAAGCAAAGACATAAGTGTCTTCTCATCTCCATCTTGGAAAGAAAGCAAATAAGTGTTAATGTTAGACTATTACGTTAAGCTATTTGGAAACTATAAACTTGCTGGTGCTATAGTTTTCATGTTGTGTTCATGGGTTACAATTAGATGACTTCTTTGGAGTTGGACCATTGATATACATCTTGTTACTGATGCTACAGGCTCATAGTTACTGTATTTCAACCAAATGTGGCTGTAGACAACATAATCCCTCCATTGTTCTGAAAAAAGAGAGACTTGTTTCAAATGGCAAATCTAACCTGTCTAACAGTATTGTTATATTTGTGCACTGTCATGCTTTCCATTTGCACAGTCTGTTAGGAATTTAAACTGTATATAGCCTTTATATACAAAGGACTAAAACTGCATAGAAGAAGCCAATTGTTGCAAAAAGTAGCAAAGCACACCAAAGGCTTTTCTGCAGACTGAAGGGCAAAAAAAAAAATCAAATGACTTTGTTTGACTTTCCAAGGCAGCCATGGGTGTCTTTATTTTGGCTTTTCCTCAGAGGAAGCTCCTGATTACGGAGTATAAAAATATACAAGTGAGTTATGTAGAATGGAATTTGAAAAGCTGAAAGTCAACCAATAATGTTTCTACAACAATTCACCTCATATGGTTCTGACAGAAGAGGAAAAAAACCCAAAATGTTCCAGGTTGGTACCAACAAACTCCAGAATTGCCAGACTTAATCAGGGACTAATCTCTCTGCCAAGAACCAGGCAGAAAAAAAGAGGCTCAAAATACATGTTATTTTCCTTATGTCAGCCTCTGTTGCGTGTTATCAATAAAGCTTAAGTCATATGATGTTTATGGCATTACAGCCTGTTGCAACGCCATATTGTCAATAAGGCCCGTGGATAAACCCTGTTGACAACCACGTGACTCTAGTGTCAAACAAATATTTGGAGGTACAGTCCAGACAGCAAGCACTGTATTTAGACAGTTATAAAGTTTTGTTCTTCAGCACACTCAATTTGAAATAAAACAACAAATGGATGGAAAAAACTGTATGGGAGATACAGCCCGTTTAACACGTATGTGCCCAGTGTTTAAGGGTTCAATAGTAATTGGACAAATATACATGAAGTCAAACAAAATAGTAGATATTTTGTGGAAAATCCTTTTCAGCCATCAGTGGCTGAAGACTTGGACCCAGACACTTTGTATCTTCCATGTTGATGCTCTCCCAGGTCTTCACTGCTGCCATTTTCAGCTCTTGCTTGTTATGGGGTCTCTCTGCCTTTAGGTCAAGGCTTTAGCAGCTCAGTCAAATTGAAATCAAGTGACTGACTCGGCAAGTCAAGAATATTCTACCTCTTCACCCTGAACAGTTGTGTAGTTACTTTGACAGTACATTCAGGATCGTTGTTCTGCTGACTGAAACAGGTTTTGATGCATTTGGCTAAATCTGAGTACACAGAAGGCTTCTGCATTCCTTTCTTTCCATCCTGTTGCTACAGCAGTGTAATAATCAATAAATGCTTGCGTGTCAGTTGTGTTTGCAGTGATACGTGTTAAAGCTAAAACAGAACTGCCACCATGTGTGACAGATGAAGATGACTGCTTTGATGTTCCCGCCACACTTTCCTCCTTCTATCATTTTGATATCATCAAAACATAGAATATTTGTGTTTCTGAACTCTACCAGATGTTTTTTTGTGGTTTTTCCTGTGCACCTGCTTATTTAGAATGTACACAGCTGCTGTAGGCTTGTTTGGTAAATAAACTACATCAGGTATTTCTCGGACAGATTTTACCTTTTTTTTCAGCCTTATTATTATGGCCTTCACTTGCATGGTCACCTGTTGAGGCCACTCCTCATACTGACAGATAACTCCACCTTAATCAGCTTTGACACATGTCTGAGTTCTTGTGTGCACGAAGCCTGAAACATTTAGTATCCATGTGTCCAATAACTTTTGAACCCTTGCAGTTTGGGCATACTTTCAGTATTCTTTCAATATTGATGTAACCCTACTCAAATTAAAACGAAGACTTGACACTTTAACGTAGTATCAATTATTTTATTTTTAAATGAACGTGCTGAAGCTAGCAAACACTAAATTCAAATGAAGAAGACTAAATACTGGGATAAATGGGATAAATTGTAGCCTACCTGTCGGTGAGTGTTGACTGTGTGCTACTCATTGGACTTCCCTTACGAGTTTCCAGGAACTTCACCCAAATAACATTTTATGATATGCCTAAATCTTACTTATTAAAACGGTTTCTTTACTCAGTCTCCTCTGTGTCCGTCCATATCCAAAAATGTCGACAGAGTAGATATCCAGCACAAAGACTCTCACACCCCGTTATTCTTGGGAGTGTTTGCATTAAAGTCCCAGAACGAAAATTAAAGTTAGTCATGTGTTCATATCAGCGACTTTAATGAAGTCTAAAATCCTAAGTTGCAAAAAGTGAGGAAATGCGCTACTTTTTTCTTTAGGGTGTGATGTATTTAATTAGCCGTTGTCTGGATCTGCTGATCTGGAAAACCGTCGAGAACTTGGTGAAAATGTTTCCCTCAACTTGCACTTTCTTAAATGAACCCAAAGTCTCAGATGTGAAAAGATTTGCTTTCCCTTAGGCAACACTTCAGTGATGACACTCCAGCCTATTCCTCATGTCCACGGAAGAAAAGACGTCAAACTTTGCTAAATCCAGGATGAACTCTATCCTCTTATTTCCACAATGTCTAGCGCCCACTGTGCTGGATGGAAGTTTCTGTTGCATCCTCTAGGTCTGTTCACTTTAATCCTCACTATTTTGTACAGCAGCCTGGGGTTTTGCTCCGCAGTGTGATGGAATTGGAAAAAAGGAAATGCTTTATCCTCCCTCCCCAGAGGCAAAAAAAGACGGCAGAAACCCACCTTCCATCCCGTTGCGTTCAGGCGCTCCTCGTCCTTCGCTAAACTCTCAGATTTCAATTGCTATGAAAGAATTTAGCAGATCTTTTATTTAAGTAAAAGCAACAATAGGACAGTGGACAAATAAGCTACGTCATTGCAAGTTAAAGGCATGCAGTCAAAAATTTGCATAGCCTACGTACAAACGTTGGATAGGCTATGTACTTCAACTACGAAAAGTAAAAGTAGGCTACACTGACAATGGCCAACTTCAGAAAAACGTAGGCCTGTCTATATTATTAGACTATAAATAATAATGAATGAATATGTAGTTAGTAAATATGGGTTTAGCATTATTTTACATACTACTGGGTAACTTGTGAATTACTCTGATGACCAATAAAAACGTAGCCTATCCGATTTGAATCCTTAACAACATTTATGTTCTTTGTTATATCCAAATCCGCAAATTAAGATAACAAAGAAAGGCTGTGGGGTGCAATAATGCAGTTGGGTTGAAGTGTGAAGTTGCAAAAATGAAAATACATAAACTAAAGTTTAAGGATTTATGGATTGTGTTTGTTCATAATTGTAACTTAGATTATGATCTGATCATATGTCAGGATAAATGTATACATAAGTGCGGCTAATTCCCAATGGTTCACTTACCTGCTCTTGCCACTGTAACTGTCCTGTAAACGGGTTTAGTACCAGTGGGTGACTTCAACAAAACAGTAATCGGCGGTCAGCCGCCTATAGGTGGCAGCACTGTGTCTGTCGAGAGGAAGAGGCATCTGGTATTCTCACATTTCACGCGTAGAAGAAGAACTCAATTTACGTACAGGCCAGCGGTAGCTAGTTAGCAGACAACATAAACATTGGGCTGTCTAAGTGGAGATTTGACTATTTTGCCGATTTGGCTTTTGTTTCCTTATTGGGAAATAAGTACAAGATGCGGTAGCTCAGCTGTATGTCATCTGCTCAACCATGTTTGTTTGGATGTCGGATTTACTAAGGCCTTGAAGTTGCCCTGCTAACGGATGGTAAGACATTGATTTGACTCATAGGAATAGCTAGCTAACATCATACAATCCAAAGGTTTTCTAAACATCAAATATGCCCTAGCTCTCTTAACACGGCCAACATCTTCCACCTCGCTAGAAACATTCCATGGATGGAATCATGTTATTACACATTTTAGCATTCATGGAGTACACCAGCTGTACGTGCCGTTTCCCGTTGTGTTGACACTTGTCCTTAAATGTCGGATCTGGTAAAACCACACTAGCTATTAGATCTTTGCAACTGTTAGGCCCTTCTGTCACTACTACAACATATATATTGTTCTTTTAGCAGCATTTGAACTAAACAGTATGTCAGTTTTTTTGTGTGATTGGCTTTGTGCTCCTGTGTTTTGTAATTATTAAGATGGACGGCGGTACAATCAGTGCAAGACATTAAAAAGTAAAGACTTCATTGTGATATATGAACGCCAGACGAAAGACATTATGTATTCTGAACAGACATGTAGACAACACACTCCTAACCTGGCATCTTAATTAACCTACAGTCAGGGAAAAAATGATTTGAACCCCAGCTCATTTTGTAAGCTTGCCCACTAACAAAGAAATGATCAGTCTACAATGTCAATGATAGGTTTATTTGAACAGTGAGAGACACAACAATAACAAAAAAAAATCCAGAAAAATGCATTACAAAAAAAGTTACACATTAATTTGCATTTTCATGAATGAAATAAGTATTTGATCCCTTTGCAAAACATGCTTTAGTACTTGGTGGCAAAACCTTTGTTGGCAATCAGAGGTCAGACGTTTCTTGTAGTTGGCCACAAGGTTTGCACACATCTCAGGGGGGATTTTGACCCACTCCTCTTTGCAGATCCTCTCCAAGTCATTAATGTTTCGTGGCTGATGTTTGGCAACTCGAACCTTCAGCTCCCTCCACAGATTTTCTATGGGATTAAGGTCTGGAGACTGACTAGGCCACTCCATGACCTTAATATGCTTCTTCTTGAGCCAATCCTTTGTTGCCTTGGCCGTGTGTTTTGGATCATTGTCATGCTGGAATACCCAACCACGACCCATTTTCAATGCCCTGACTGAGGGAAGGAGGTTCTCACCCAAGATTTGA